CTGCCGGCAGGTGATCATGTCCTCCAGCAAGCCCGTGGCGGAGCCGCCGAAGCAGGCGCCGCCTCGGCCGCGTGGGTCGCGTGGGTCGCGTCGCTCGGGCTCCCAGGCCCCAAGGAGGTGCACTGCAAATAAAATAAAATAAATAAAAATCCAGTAGTGAAATCGATTCCCTTTAAAACCAACAGGGGAAAATAAGCAAAATATACTTAAGCAAATGAAAGCTCTTTTCCGGTCGAACATCCCCCCTACTACTCGGTTGACGTTGGAAGGGGAGCAAAAACAAATAAGTTTTAGCAGGTAAGTGGTTGGATTTCAACCACTAAACCACGATAGGCAAAAGTGTAAAATGTTTCCCAACGACAACCATGGATGTGTCTTCTTTGTTCTATTCATGTCACGGGTTCCGCGTCTTCTTCGTCGGAAACGGTCAAGCAGCTGCCCTCTTGTTGGCATCCATCTGGATGTTGTTGTTTTTTGATGGCAACCCTTGAAGCCGTCAAGGGTTTCTCTTTCTTTTTGGTTTGGGGGGGGGGGGGGGGATTTGGCGATTTAGAGTCGAATCACACAGTGGGGGGCCCTGTTTTGGCGACTCCAAAACTTTTTTGGACCAGTAAACTAAAAGGCACGCTGGTTTCTAAAAAGAAGCGTGCGGGGTTGGCAAAACAGGATCGCCAAACCTCAGCGGTTGCCACTCTCACAAAACAACGTGCGCTTCAAAGTGCAGCCCTTTCGGTGGGAATCTCTCGCTTGTGTTTGTTTCACCTCCTCTTTCAAAGGCGACCCCAAATTCAAGCTGGATTGTCCCATGTCACGAAACATGCAGGATTCTCGCTGAGAATGGTACGCCTCACAACCAAGGGGAAAGAACGGTGGCATCCAAACGTGTTTCGTGGAACAGCGAACTAGTACCCAGCGTCGCTGCATGTTCCAGACATATCTATGGTCAAACCAAGTGCAGCTGTTTGATGACTGGTGCTAAAAAGGGGGTCTGGAAGAATCCAAACAAGCGATTCTCCATCTCTTGCGGTTTCCTTCACTGAGTAGAAAGCAACAATCATGGGCGATCAAGCTCCCAAACACGCACTATTGGGGAGCTCCTTGTGATACATGGCGGTGTTTGTCTCACCCATGATTCCCTTCAACACATCGCCCTACCCTTGCCAAGGGAAACAAAAGGACCCCTGTCAAAAAGGAGGACCTGTTTAAGATCCCCAAATCCTTGTTTATGAATTTCGGGACCTCTTTGAGCACGGCAAAGGAGTGACTTGAGGGTACCTTTTGGCTTCGTCTACCCCCTACCCGCAATACCTAAGTATAAAACCTGGTTTGTTTGATATCTGCCTTTTTTGTCAACCTCTGCCTGGGCATTTGAAGAGGCCAGGTCATTGCTACCTAGTGACTCGTCACTGAGAGTGACTATGACATGCTTCGAGCTCCCCTCGCCGGTACGCGCCAGCTCTTGGCTCTGACTTTCAACAAGTTCTCCGTGATCCTCTGTTTTCCTCGAACTTGCCTGACTTATTCGCTTACTGATTCTGTTTTTTTTGGGGGGGCTGGTTTGGGATTGCTTGGGCACGTTTGCCTCATAGCGCTTTGGCGCCTTAAAACTTTCGCCGAGTTTTGTGTTTGGCGCCTTGGCGCGCAGCTGCGCGGATCGAAAAGCCGGCTCTAAATGGACCTGATCCCAGGCCCCCCGGAAGAAAAACAAGAAAAACACAAAACAGCTAAACCGCGATCTCGCCAACCTCGCCGAAACCGCACCCCTTAGGCCCTTGTTCACCTGCCGTTTGCCCTTTTGGGGCACCCAACGCTCCGGCGGAGGCGTGTAGCAGCGCCAGTTGAAGGTGCCCCGGAAGGTCTGGCCCTGCGCTTTCGCGACACGAGGGCAGGCGGAGCGAACCCGAAACCAAATGGACCCCTACAAGGAGTGCTGAATTGTGGGATCTTGTAGGGGACCCTTCGGCGCCTTTGGGGGAAGAATGAAATATCGGATTTGGAGGCCCAACAAAACGGGGCGGCATCCCGCTTAAGCCAACAAACAAGGTCCTCCGACTTTGGGGACTTTGTGCTCCAGTTTCGGCTCCGCGGGTGAGGCATCAGTGAAGTCCTTTTGGACCCCCGAAAAAAAGCGGCTGGAAGCGTTTTCAGCTTTGGAAGAAAAAAACAGGACGCTCCCCTCACTTTTGGAAAGAACAGCTACTTGGGTGTGTCTCGGGTGAGTCTTGCAAGTGTGGTGGTTATGTGAAGGGGGTTCTCCCAATTTGGCAAGGACCACCCAAACGGGCACATGCTTTGCACCAGGCGAAACCAAGTGAGTGAGCAAGGCAGCAACATGTTTGTGTAAGAAGATTGGTGCGGGCTAGAATCTAGAATGACTGAATGCATGTATAGATGTATGCATGCATGTGTGAACAGCATCCCAAAACAGTACCTGTGCCAGCACCCCAGACTGCATGCCCCCTAGCACCCGGCCGTCAATCTCGCAGATCACTTTCCCCTCTTATTAGAAGTTAGTTAGAACCCCTATTTAGAACCCCTATAGGCTATAGCTTTCGGCTATCTGGGGAACAAAAAAGAAAGGCGGTGTCCCTTAGTTGCCCTTCCAACATCATACTAACAAGCAAGAGGAAAAAAAAGGTCACCGAGGCCGCCGTGCGTCCAGGTCGCGCGAAAAAGGGCGATTCGGAGGGAATCGGAAACGCCTCCAGCGTGGGATAGTCGGGATCCTGGGAGCCCCGCACGTCCAGCACCTGAGATTCTGGGCTGACGAGAACTGCTGGCGCCCGGTTTTGTGGCTCCGGTTGCCTTGTCCCCTCCCCGCTTGGTGGCCAGTCGGGTTTGTACTCCCCTTCTCTTTTCTTTGGTGGGGATAGTGGGTTCCAGTCGGGTTTGTACTTTTCCTCTTTTTGTTTTGGTTGGTGCCGGGATAGCCCACTGCCTCACGACACAGAACTGATGCGGAACCAAGGGAGTCCCTTGAAAAAGCACCCTTACAGCAGTTAGCTTGCTGATTTCTCGCAAGCCGTATTTTCTTCATGGGCTCCCCTTTTCGAAATACCCAGCTTGCCCTGGATGCGTGGCACGGAGGTAAACCACCCCTTCCAACATCAAACCGTGGAGGTGGGAGGTACCGGGAGTGCGGAACCTGACAAACCGCATGACTGGAGCTCTCATTCTGCCAAAGCGCCCGCAAATACTGCCTTCAGTTTCCTTCTGGTGGTTTGGATGGGCGGTTTGAAGGAGTGCGGAAACCGGCGACCAGGCCCGGTTCAAGCAATTTTTGCCCATCCCAAACATGCGCCATGACCAAAATTCCTCTGGGCTAGGGTTCACCATCCCCAACAAGCCCAAGTAAAGGGGCGCTTTGACCATGGCAGACATACGCAATCCAACACTCTTTGTGGGGTTCAATTTACTGAAACGGCAGGTTGGCAAGAAATGGCCCCGCTTGGGGACCCTGGGTGACATTTAGCGCCTTCAAGGTCTAGTGGCCACAAAAGAAGGGAGCACCCGCTCTTTTTTTGTGAATAACCAGTAAAGCAAGAAAGTGTGCCTTTTCAGTGGGGATTCCTCACTTTCGGCGAGGAACACCCCCCTATCACCCTCCAATTAACATGGAACCTGACGCTGGGAAGGGTCCTGGTTTGAACCATTTCCCTGTTAAAAGTACAAAAAGGACCGCTTCCCTGTCAGTGGTCAGGTTCCATGTCAATTGGTGAGAGTCACACGATGGCCCGTCAGCCCCTCCGCCCGGCACCAAAATGTCGCCCTTGGTGACCATTCGGCTCGCCGTCCTCCACTTCCAGCGGCTGCGGCTCGATGGTTGACCCCTTTGAAGGGCGCGACATTGTTCTGTACCTTTGTTTGAGCTAGCCTTGCGCATGTGTGTTTTTCAAACATGTGGCCGGGGTACTGTTTGTTTCAGGGTGGTTTGCTCGGAAAAATCAAGGGAAACCACCTGTTGGGGAAACGTCCGCCATTTTGAGACAGCCCCATATGTATGTCAGAAGTCGGGTTGGATTTGGGCCTGTTGCGGAAGAACCCGTGATGGCGGTCACGTCACTGAAGGAAGGGCTCAACGTTTTCTGCCACGTGGGTGTGCCTGTTTTCAGGGCGCACTTACTAGGGGTTCAAAGGGAAGCCCAGAGTTTCTCCTTGATTCCATGGCGTGTCTGATTTTGAGGCTAGGCGCTGCAAAGGGGAATCAAAAACGGACGCATCTTTTAACATTTTAGCGTTCCCCCTTCTGACAAATCCAAATGTGTGTCCAAATTGGTTGTACCCTCTAAGCCTTATTTTGAGAGGAGTTGTAGGACCGCTTTCAAGAGGTTTTCCAGAGGAGTCCAAGTGAGTCATGATCAAACCCGGTATTTAAATGGTCTACCCAGAACCATGTAAAGCACTAAGAAAGCGGCCGCAGCTATTTATGCTTGGGATTGTCCCTTACCAACCTTCATCTACCTGGGTCTTGATAGTGGCTCGGGTGGTTTTTCTGCAATCGCCTGGTTTACGCGCGTGCGGAAGGCGGCCTGCGGTCTTTTTGGATTGTTAGTTGGGAAATTCAAAAAGGCTGAAGCCGGCTACGGCCAGGTCATTAAAATCATTCGGGAAACATACAAGTCCTGACAATTGGGAGCTGAAACATGTCTATACTTGCACTGTTGCGCTAGTGCAGAAAGACTAATCATGCCAGTGGCAACAAAACACCTAAGCCATTGCGTCGGACAATGTTGACCGTTACTTTACAAGCATCGCGGTCACTTGAAGTGACACGTAGAGTCGCTTCAACAGAGCTGCTCCAAAAAGCATGGCAAAGAATCGCTTCTCCCTTATTTAAAAAAAAAAAATGGGGGGAGTTTTATTCTTGGGGGTCGCCGATTTGGGCCTGGATCCACTTGATGGTTTGCTGCTTAGTATTGGACTTGTATTGGAAAGTGGATCTCATTTGACTTGGAGCAAAAACTGCTCAGATTGCGACTTTTAAGTAAGAACAAGCCCAGTAAAGGAATCGTACTCCCGGAGCTCAGGCTCGAAAACACACTCTGGAGGGGGGGGACCCCTGATAAGCATATTTTGGGAGCTTGGTGGAAAGCATGTGTACTCTCAGGAGCTTAGTATTGGTTTAGTATTGGCCAATTTAAATTTAGTATTGCCGATTTTTTTGCCGCGGCTCGGGGAAGTCTTATTATTAGGGGTAGGTTGATTATATAATAGGAAGAAGTGATCAGAGGTGTGGCTATTGGCAAAGGAAAACCGTCCGGGATTGGGTTGTAGCGGGTCGCATTGGCTCCTGTGATGATAACGAGTGCCAATTCTCTAGTTTGCCCTGGGTCCTTTCGGTTGCCACATACTTCCATTACTTTTACCTCTTCTGGGGAAAGTGTGGGGAAAGATTACCACTTTGACCCAAGAATCCGTTCATGCTTCCAACACGGTGTTCAACCGACAACTTTCGTCTCTGGAAGCAACAGCTTCTAGACCCATGGGATGTGGAAACCACATGCAATATCAATTGACATGTACATCTACCCCAACTCCCATCACCACTGCCAACCACCACAAGCAAACAAACAAACAAACAAGCAAGCAAGCAAGCAAGCAAACAAACAAACAAACAAACAAACAAACAAACCAAACCAAACCAAACCAAACCAAACCAAACCAAACAAGCAAGCAAGCAAACCAAACCAACAAACAAACAAACAAACAAACAAACAAACAAACAAACAAACAAACAAACAAAAGGCAAACAAACAAACAAACAAACAAACAAACAAACAAACAAACAAACAAACAAGCAAGCAAGCAAGCAAGCAAGCAAGCAAGCAAGCAAGCAAGCAAACACACAAACAAACGAAGGAAACAAGCACAAAAGCAAACACGCAAGCCGGCAAGCAGGCAAGCATTCCCAAACAAACAAACAAAAAAACAAGCAAGCAAGCAAGCAAGCAAGCAAGCAGGCAGGCAAGCACGCAAGCAGGCAAGCAAGCAATCAAGCACGCACTCAAGCACTCAAGCACGCAAGCAAGCAACCAAGCAGGCAGGCGCAAGCAGGCAAGGCAAGCAGACAAGCAAACAAGGAAGGAACAAGAGGCGAGGGAGAAAGGAAGGAAGGAAGGAAGGAAGGAAGCAAGCAAGCAAGCAAGCAAGGAAGCACGGAAGCAAGGAGGCAAGGAGGAAGGAAGGCAGACAAGCAAGCAAGCGAGCGAGCGAGTGAGTAAGCAAGCGAGTAAGCAAGCAAGTAGGCAAGCAAGCAATGGCGACAAGAACAATGACAAGAACAAGAACAAAAACAGCAACGGCAGCAACAGCTGCAGCAGCACGTGAAGAATTCAAAGGGCGGACGCTGTTCAATGTTGGGCCTGTTTTCTGTTACCTTCCAAAACACCTGTGTTCTGCAAAAAGTATGGCTCAGGCGACTCTGGAACAATCGCAACTTGTCTGGGCCGTGGAAGTTCCGAGCGAATGCCTTAACGCCGTCCTGTAGACGACGTAAACCGTTGACCGGTAGATCTTCACAGTCACCCGCGCGTACCTCGGGGGCGCGACATGGAGAGTTCTGCCCGGACAACTCCATCCATGCATCGTCTTGACGACTACGAGTGGCCAAATTGATGAAATATCTGTTATATACCAATGGAGTCGTTCCCATGGGAAAAGACCCAAAAGGCAAAACGGCAGTCAGCTTTTGGCCCGAGCCGAAAAGTATGCTTTAGATTATGTGTCATATTCAGTGAACCTTCGAGGCCATCCTCGTATTCTGACGCCTCGTAGCCGTGCATGCCTTTCCCGACTTCCCTGAACCTCGAAATACAAGACGAACTGGCCCCAGCCAGTTCGAAAGAAGGAAGGTCCAGCCAGTCCAAATATCATGCTTTTCTCTTGATGACTTGGTTGAACCTTGAATATAACACGACACAATATCAAAAGAGATGGCCATGGGTCAAAAACCCAGCTACCCCCCAGTGAACATCCCAATCCCCACCAAAATAAACTAAAATGAGTGGTGCACCCCCCAAAATCGTGCCATTGGTTTTGACCCACAGCCAGATCTCAGCACAGGCCGACAGGAAATCATAGTCCTCGAGCTGCCCACGCAAACCCCAAACTCCCTTCTGCATATTGGAGGTGTTCTTTTGAGGCTTGACATTTTTTGTTGCTGTGGGAAAGCGACAAACATGGCCCCCTATTTTAAGGCACACTTTTGTAGAGCTGGCTTCTTAGATTTCGGAAACGAGCAATTCCTGATCCTTCCTGAAGGTTACAAACGAGAGTTTGGTCCCATGGGTGTCCATGAAGGAACATTCTGACCAAGCCAACCAAAAAAATAGGGCGGCAGATCCATTTGATCAGCTCAAGTGGGGTCCTAAAAAGTACAGCAGAGTCGGGGCGGCCCAGTGCTGTAGTCTATTTTAGTAGGGGGACCCTCCCCAAAAAAGAAAGGGTAAAAGGGCACTACTGGGGGATCTAGAATCTCAGGGTCGCACAATCAAACCTGGT